AACATAACAAGGTCCCGTCCCTCTGCCTACACGTGCTTTACTCACCCCTGCGCTGTGTCCCCATGAATGCCAGTCCCCACTGGCACCCCGAAGTAAGCCCCTACCCAGGCATGCCTTCGTCTCCCAGTTCCGTGTCCCAAACCAGTGCCCTCCAGCTAACGTCTGTCTGTCCTTCCCACCTGCCTTGACAAAGGCCGGGTGTCATATGCTCAGCTGGTGCCGTGTTAACTCACGCTCTTCATGTCACTCTGCTGCCTGAGCGGCCTCCAGCGAGCTCCGTGTCTCGAGGGCCCGTGTGTTGTCCAGACGTGTCCCATCACACGCAGGTGCCTATTGCCCCTGCAGGTGTCCACGGAGCATCTGCTGAGTGACCATGTCAACATACTACTCATCTCGGGCCCAGACGTCGGCCTCGTGACCAGCGTCCTGATCAGGGGTCCAGGGAGCCTGACTCCCCAGTCCCCACGCTCCACGGTGGCCCAGACGTCTGCCAGCCCGCTCGTCAGGACAGATACCAACGACGACCCCAAAGCCATCACACACTGCGTCGTGAGCTCTAAAACCAGACATGGGCACCACGACGCGCCATGACCCGGATTAGGTCGGAAACCGCGGAAACGGTCTGACCCCTCGAGACGACTCCAGGCGCCGTGTTCAGCTCCACACTTGCCTCGTCACGAGGACGAAAAGTGTCCGCGTTTCTCGTACGGCCGCACCTGTCAGCACCCTGAAGCGCAACGGGCCCAGGGGACGGCTGGCCAGCAGCGGACGCATGACCACGGAAACCATGACGGTCTCGTACCTTCGTTTTCTTGGCAGATTCGGTAGTCAAGGGCAACTGACAAAAGTAATGAATAAGTAAACGGCAGCTCTAGACATCTGGGGGTGTGGGAGGGAGACATATTTTGGGCCACCAGATAAATATTCAAATGGCACAACTTACTGCATTTCCTCCCTCACTAAGCCGCTTCCGTGAAGCTCGTGGTGGGCAAATCGAGGGAGAAGCCCCAAACCGCCACCTGACAAGGTCACCATTCAGGTCCCAGGGGACATGCGGGTCCCACGGAGCCTGATTGTTAGAGGCCCAAAAAAAAAAGGCCTGTCCCTCGAAGAAGCCAGCAAGCTCCTCGCCACAGAGCCGGGGACCTGGGGACATCCTCCACCTCCGAATCTCGGCTTCCGTGGCTGATGGGTCTCAGGGGACCGTGCCCCGTATGACTTGTGCACCTCAGCGCTTGACGCTGAGGTTAGTCCCGCGTGTCCACCTCCACGGAGTTCTAACTCATCGCCGCCCCAGGCGCTGTGTCAGCTGTCAGCATCTCAGCCTCCAAAGTGCCACTCGCGGGATAAACTCGACTTTTAATCACGCACGTAGCATGAAAAAAACCCAAAGGGGAAAGAGGAACAGGGACCAAGTGTAGCTGCTCAGCCTACGATCTTTCTGGCCACTTCAACCGCCAAGTGACCTTTAACCCCAACACAACACGACCGAAGTCGCAACAGGACACTCGACCTAGTGAGTGGATAGAGGCCAAGGGTTAGTTTTTGTAAAACAGCAGGTCCTTGAATAATGCTGTTCACTCAATGTTTTGTTATGACTTTGATGAGAAAAGTCCATTCCGGGCCCCGGCCTCTGTCCGTGTGGCTTCTGTCCATGTGTCCTCTGTGTGTCCTCTGTCCACGTGTCCTCTGTCTGTGTGTCCTCTGTCCATGGGGCTTCTGTCCGTGTGTCCTCTGTCCGTGCGGAGTGTGCACATTCTCCCCATGTCAGCATGAGTTTCCTCCAGGGACTCCGGTTCCCCCCACGTCCCAGAGACGTGCACGTGCGGGGACCTGGCCTGTCCCCACTGTCCCCATCCGAGTGGGTGTGGATAGGAATGGGAGGCCCCGGGATGGAAGGGCGTCCTGTCCAGGGTGGGTCCCGCCGGGCGCCCTGAGCTGCCCGGATGGGCTCCCGCCACCGCGACCCTGACCTGGGAGAGCGCGCTGGAAACTCATTATCTCACTTTTCTTATTCGTCTGTCCTCGATGGATGTCGAGCTCACGTTTCCTTCCGTGTTTAACAGCAGAAGGGTTCGGGGTCTTTATTTGGAAGCTGGGGGATGTTTCTGTCACCCAGAATAGGCCGTGGGACTTGATTAACTCCTGTTGCTATCAATGAGCCTCGGGCGGTGCTGCTTTCGATAACGTCATTTCCCTTAAAGTCGGTTTCCAAGAACCACCGACAGTGTTGAGTCCGCAGAGCCAGCTTCCGTCCTCGGACAGAACTGCAGAATCGGACAGACTGCGATGGCATTAAAGACAGGCGTCCTTACTGCGTTAGTCCGTATTCCACTTATTATCACAGGAATTAAATGCGGGGGTCAGGGAGAGGGGTTTGCTTAATATTAATTAAGTCTTTAAATGCAAAACCAAGATTGCCACCTAGTGGCAACCTGAGTCACCTACAAGACAGCCCGCTGAATGTCCAGGACGATAAAAACCAAGTGTAAGACAAGGAAACTAAACAGCACAGGACGGGGCCCAAGGAAAGGTAAACACTTCAGACTGCACAGCTGTCCCCAAAGTTTTAAAAGCTGAGAAAACGCGACGGTGGCAATGTGTTTGGCTCACGCTAGGTGCCCGGAGGCCTTGGGAGGGGCACAGAGCAGGGGTCCCCAACTGCTGGGCCATAGCCCGCGCCCTCCCTGCTCTGTTAAGAACCAGGCTGCACGGCAGGAGGGGAGCAGCGGCAGGAGAGAGAGCAAAGCTCCATCTGCGTCTGCGGCCGCTCCCCAGCGCCAGCATCACCGCCTCAGCTCCACTCCAGCTCCTCAGGCCTCAGATTCTCACGGGAGCACCGGTCCCTGGTGCCAAGAAGGTTGGGGACTGCAGGATTAAAGGAGAAAGGGCACGCAGGGGTGCCCACGTGGGACACGCCATGAGCACTGAGGTTCACGCAAGACCAGGAGAGGGGTGTCAGGATAATACTGATGACGACGTGCAGCCAGTCACATGCCCCAGGCTCGTGGGCGGATGGACCTGGCAGACACTGTGCTCAGTGAAAAGAGCCAGTCACGCAAAGACGAGTGCTGTGTGACCCCACTTACGTGAGGTCCCGGGAGCAGTCTGCCGCAGAGACAGCAGACTGGGGGTTGCCAGGGCTGGGGGTGGGGGGACAATGGGGACAGTTTCAGTGGGGAAGGTGGGAAAGTTCTGGAAACGGGTCGCATGGCGTAGATGTACTTTGCACTGCAAGTCTGTGACAGAAAAATGGTCCGGATGGCAAATTCCACATTGTACGTTTTCTACCACAATTAGAAATAACGACCACGGTGCACTGGCAGCAGCCCGGGCGGGGACCCTCCCGAGGCAAGGGCCCGGGCTGGAGCTGCACGCACAGGCTGGCCATACGGAAGTGGGGCCCAGAAGCAGGGACTAAGTTCATGAGCCTGCTTGCCTCTGGCCGCAAGACACATGGTTACACTCCGGCCAGCACACATCCTCCACTGCTGCACCCGGTGACGAGCTCCGCGTACAGGGGGGCCTGTGACCCCCCCAGCTTTAAAGCACCCAGTGGTCCCCAGCTCGGTCCTCCACAAGAAGGGGGGACCCTGCCCCCAGCAGCACCTCCCAAGCTCGGTGTCCCCTCAGTGGACGAAAAGGAGGCCCACGTTGTAACGTGCGTTGCTCCCCACCGAAAGGGCCCCCCGGCCTCCTCCCCTCTGTGAGCCGAGTCCTAGGAGCATGATCCGGCCCCCAGGTCCTCGGAAGCCACTCTTCCCGAGAGAGATCGGGAAAGGCAGGCAGAAAGCCAGCCCCTGTGTGCATGAACAGTCACGGAGGGATGACTCATCACGGAGCATGGGGCCACCCGTCCCCCGGCCTCGCTGGCCATGGCCATCAGTACGGGCGTGCAGGGGAGACTCTGACCTGAGACATGCTCTGCTTCTGTGGGACAGAGGGGACCTCCAGGAGCACGGGCACACGTGGCACGCAGGGACACGCGTAAGTCACACGCGACTGACCTGATGGCCGCCAATCACAGTCTGGGGTGACGGCCGGGCCCAGCGAGCCACATTCCATCAGTGCCGGGTGGCCGCCCATGGCAGCCGCCAGTGCCCGCTCCGCGGGTGTCCCCGCGAGGCGGAGGGAGGCCCGGCCCATCGCGTGGCGGCTCGTCGGCCTCAGATGGAGTCAGAACTGGTTTACAGACCAGAACCTCTCAGAGCTGGGAGTAGCCGTTAAGGCGGCTACTTCTTCCACTGAATGTCCAACCCCGGCCGCCACCGACAGGAAGACAGCAGTGTGTCACACACACACGCACCTGTCACCGTTCTCGCTGACACGACCCGCGTCTGTCTTGAGGGCAGTGGAGCAGGCCCAGAGGGGTTATTTTATTTTATTTTATTTTTTTGCTTGGCTCAGGAAGAAAGCACCAGTGGACACCTGGAGAAGGCTGAACTTCCTTTGCCCTGAAACCTCCAGCATTAAAGTCAGTTCCTGCCTATTTTAAAACTTTGTTGAAATGTGCCTGTACATGTCGATCTCTCTCTCCACGATCTGTCTCAGATAACACATTATAAAGCAGATCAAAAGTTCAATTAATGGTACCCAATTAAAAAGCAGGTTAAGAGACTCACAGAGGAAGCATCACACTGAGGTTAATGAACACGTTATTTCGACATGAAAACTGCCTTAGGACACGTTACTAAAATTCCGAACATTAATTATCTCTGCTTTTTTAGGCCCCGCTTTTGAAAAGTTATTTCTTCCGCTCCTTTTTAAATCGTATTTTGTGACAAAACATGACAGTCCTACACGAGTATATAATTCTCTTAAGTTAAAAAGGACACGATAATTTAGAATGCGATGCTTTGTGCATTACGAATTAACTAGTGCGTTTTAAACCATAAATAGTCGCTATTAAACAAGCAAAACAAGTCAGAAGAGTTGTCTAAACAAAATTGATTCTCTACAGACCAAGTGCTGAACAGGCGTCCCAGACCGTCTCGACGTACCTGGGCGAGAGACGCAGACTGCTTTAAGATGCTGTTTTTTAACTGTTCTGCTGTCTTTGCATGAAAGGAATTACTTTGACTCTGGATGACAAAGACGATTTCTTTTAAATCTAGAACCAAAAGAAGAAAAAAACATTCGGGTATTTATATTGTAACGAGAACTGAAACAAACTTGAAAACAAGTTAAAAAAACACACAGTGATTAAGGCAAAACTTAGGGAAAACAGTCGATTTATATGCAATTCTAGCCACAAAGTCTCTCTTTTAAAGCTGATCTCTGAAACCTCCTTCCCAGAAGTCAGCAAGTCAACGGGCTCGGCGTCCTAGAAAATCTGAGTAACAAACTGGGAATCGGCTCCCGCATCTGCCAAACAGAACGGCTGTGACGTGGGCAAGTGGGACGATGCCTAGAACACTCACCGCCCAGTGGCTGGGAACTTTGTTCGCAAATAACCTTTTAGCAGCTCACAGAGAACCCTGCACTGTGCTGTTACCTGTCCTAGGCTGGGCTGTGTCCCCCCAAACTTCCCACGCTGGGGGTCCTGACCTCCAGGACCTCGAACGCGACCTTCCGTGGACCTGGGTCTGTGCAGAGCTGACTGACACAGTGAAGTCGTGAGTGTGGAAGATGAAGCGGAGATGCAGGAGAAAGGCCTCCGAAGACGCCGACCTCACCTCCAGCCTCCGGAGCCGAGACAAAACTCTGTGGCCTGAGCCACGGTCTCTGTTTCTGCAGCCTCCGAGAATGTTCTGGGTGGCCCTTCGAGGGAACTGCATGTGTCCCAGAGTTCCCAAGAGCGGTGATCGCATGACTCAGTCACTCCGGCCCCACCGCACGAGGCCCCCCAGCCAGACCGAGTGCGCTGTCCAGGACAGCTACGACCCCACAGCAGCAGAGCTGCATCAGGGCCCCTGCGTGGCATGCCCACCTGACCAGGAGGGCCATCAGGGGCTGTGCTGAGTGGAGAAGCACACCCAGCCTCCCCCGGTTCTGAGTTTGTAAGAAAGAAATGTAGAAACAGCCGGGTGTTGGCAGATGTCACACTGATGGCAGCCTCCAGCCGGGTCTACAGCAATGAGCGTGGGGACCGTCCCCCACCATGAGTGTCCCCTTGATCGCCTCCACTCTGGGACATTATATTCTATTGTCCATTATCTTCATGTATGCCTTCGCTCAGATAGTCATACAGCAAATAGCTCTACCGCGAGCCATCGAGCTCCTAAAAATCATCCAAAATGCTCTTTGGTTAAAACGCAGTAAAAAAAATTTAAGAGGAAACACTGAACAACCTGCTAGATGTGACCTCGCTCATGTCCGGTCGGAGTTTATATGAACGTGAAGATTCCACAGAGCTAGCTCGACAAATCGGACTCCCAGGCAAGGCTTAAACTTCAACTAAAGTGACGTCTCCCACTCAGCGCCTCTGGAACACTGACTCAAACCGACGGATGAGAAGAGTTTTAAAGACTCACTGGAACGAATAACTTCTGCAACATTAGTGAAGTTAGGGACACACTAAATGACCCAGAAATTCTGCTGCTTTTAACCATCCTTGAGAAACTCTCCCACGTGTGTAAAGGAGTCTGTAACGAGTGTGCTCCCAGCAGCATGGTAGACAAGGAAACATTGGAAAACACCCCGAATACCCACTGACGACATACACAAGTCAGAATACTATTCCACCCCCAAAATTAACCAGCTCCCAGATAAACACTGTCGATGAATCAATCGTGTGGACAGAAAGCTGGAAAAAAGCAAGCTGCCGAGGAATAATTACAAAAATCAATGGTCTACACAGACAAACACACATGTACATAAAGTGGATATACGCTACATACGTGTGCATCTATACGTGTGCGTGTACACGTGTGAAAGTGTAAGGTTGCACAAGGCTGATGAACGGCGAATCCGGATGCCGGTCCCAAGGCACCAGCTGCATTGTTTTATTTCTTAAGCTAAGCACCAGATCCACACGTGTTCATTATATGCCCCTTCACAGCTTTTTGTATGTTCAAAATAATTCATCGTGAATTTTTAAAAGAGCAGCAGACCCATCCGTCAAAGGCTGACGCCACGCCGACCGCATCATGACTCCTGCCGCTTCCGCAGGCCAGCGGGGCCCGCCCGACGCGGGGAAGAGGCTTCGCGAGAAAAAGGGCAAATTCTCCCCCTTTTCGTGACCCAAGTCACGTGCCGTGAGTTGCACGTGTCTCTCCCACGACGAAGAAATCGTCCGTCCTTCCCTCGCGCCTCGGTCACGCGCGCTGCGTGCGCTCGCTCAGCAGACGCCACGTGCGGGCCGCTGGGGCGCCACGGCGACCGAGCACAGTCCCCACGCGTCAGCGCCCGAGTCCAGGGCGCGGCTGGTGGGACCGCGAGACGCCGCGGCAGCTGTGGAGAGCAGTCTGGAGGTCCTCGGAGCCTTAACACAGACCGACCACACGAGCCAGCGTTTCCACTTCGAGAAAAATCCAAAACACTATTCATCAAAAGGACATCTGCACCCCCGTGTTCGCTGCAGCATTATTCACAGTAGCCGAGACGGAAGTAACCCGGGTGTCCGCCGAGAGACGAATGGATGAAGGAGAGGCGCCACGTCTCTGCGGCGGAAAATCACTCATCGACAAACAAGGGTGAAATCTCGCCGCCGGTGACGGCCTGGATGAACGTGGGTGGACCCAGAGGACGTTATGCTGAGGGGAATAAGTCAGCGAGAGACAAATACTGTGCGGATTCACTTACACGTGGAATCATAAAACAAAAAAAAAAAAAACAAACCAAACCGAACCAAACCAGACTCACGGAAACAGAGACCGTGATGGCGGCCAGGGGGAAGCGGGGTGGGGGGCTGGGTGAAAACGGAGCTCGGCAGCTGCAGAACCGTCACGGGGACGTGAGGTGCAGCACAGGGACCACGTCAGTAACACCGTGGATTCACTTACATGTGGAATCATAAAACAAAAAAAAAATGAACAAACCAAACCGAACCAAACCAGACTCACGGAAACAGAGACCGTGATGGCGGCCACGGGGGAGCGGGGTGGGGGGCTGGGTGAAAACGGAGCTCGGCAGCTGCAGAACCGTCACGGGGACGTGAGGTGCAGCACAGGGACCACGTCAGTAACACCGTGGCGAGGCTGCACGGTGACAGATGGGGACCACGCGGCCGGGTGCATACGTGTCGAATCGTGACACTGTACACCTGAATCTGATATAGCACTGTGTGCCGACTACGCTCCAGTAAAGTTAAAACTTCAAAAAACAAAAAAGCAGAAGACGGGCCGGCCTCACGCAAAGGGGGAAGCGCAAAGCCTGGGGCCGGGGACAATGACGAGCGACAGGTCACCTCGCTGCGGTCAGCCCCAGCCCCTCCCAAAGAGAGCCGGGCGAGCAGGGCGCGGAGCCGGACACAGCTGTCTGCTTCTGTCCCTGCCACGTTGGCTCCAGGAGGAGCGTCCTGACCCACACCCCACGCCCGCCCCGCCGGGGTCAGACGGCCAGGGCCACGGCTCCCGCTGCCCGGCCACAGGGCCAGCAGGACGAGTGAGACGCTGTGGCCTTTGCTGCCTCCTCACTGGCTGCTCGTCTCCAAACTCAGTGCAATCTGCTTTCAGCAAACACTGCCACAACTCCAGACAGGCTGTCGCTGCTTCTCCAGGGATGTGCGACAAAGGGGTCCTGAACCAAGCGCCTGACGATGACGATGAGTGCAACGGAGGAGATAAGCCAGTCGGGGGTACCGGGGGGATGGACGATTCTGAGGCCGGTGGCGAGCTGCAGGGGACGGGGGTCCAGCCGCCAGGGCCAGAGCGAGGGCCAGAGCAGGTCCTGCGGGGGAAATGGTTCTCCCGCGAAGGTACAGGAAGCGAGAGGCCCTGTGTCCCGCGGTGCCGAGCACCCGGCACGTGCCAAACACGCTCCTCGGCACCGGTCCCCCGGTCCTCGCCACCCTACAGCGTGGGTTCCAACGGGCTGGCGTCTTCCTGGGGAAAGTCGACGTGGCAGTCTCCGGATGAGAGCTGAGTAACAAGCGCCCTTGATTCGGGACCGAGGGATAAACACTCACACAGGCACACACGCACAAAGAGCCACTGCAGCCACGCGTCACTTGTGAGGATGATGTCACTAGCGAGTCTGCGGACTGGGCAGCGAGCCAGACGAGAAGGCACGGCTACCCGTCCTGAGGGGCTGTCACCTGCCGCCGGGCCCGGAGCCCTGAGACACAGTCTAGGCACGCTGACCGCACCGGGCAGCTGCTTCGGCAGCCTGTGGTCCTGCGGACGACACAAGATGGTGGCCAAAAAGCCCCCGTGGACTTTTTCAGATGACCGGACACCGAGGTAAGTGTCCCAGGATGGCCACTGGCAACTGCCAGATGCAGATTCCTGGTCCAGGCGAGCCCCCCCCGCCAGCCCTCTCAAGGTCACGACCCGACAACGGTCATTAGTCAATTCAATAAGCCCTTCCCATGAGGAGACCCACCCGCTCTGCAGAAGAAACATGCAGATGAGCTCCACACCAGGGTCAGTGGCCGAGATCTGCACGTGGGGGCCACACAGAGGCGCTCACGGTGAGGAGAAAGGCAGCAAGGCCACGTGTCTCCTCAAATGAGGCCGCTCAGAGCTGGCGGGCCCCCGCACCCCACTGCGAGCCGGGCCCCAGACGCCACCCAGCAGAGGGCCCCCACTGCACAGGGCCCCACCCAGCACAGGGACCCAGCACACAGGGGTTGTCCTGCCTGGCTGGTCCTCAGACCCAGTGCCCAGGACGGGGATGCCTACGCAGGAAGACGGGCCTTTTCCCTCTGTCCAGGGACACCTCCTGGGGAGAGGCCACGCCCCCCCACATACACACAGACGTGTGGCCTTCCCCTCCCCGTCCACACGCTGGGCGCGTTCCCCACGGAACACAAGAGGGACTGACTCTCGGTCACAGCCCTGAAGGCACAGCACGGGCCGAGCCGTCCCCTCCACACCTGGGGTGAGAAGTGCCACGGGCATGTGGGTGGGCCACCTGGGGGCCTGCAAGGGCTCCGGGCAGAGGAAGGCGAAGCGAAGGCCACAGCATGTCCACTGCTCCCACCAGTATGGCCCGTCACAGAGACGGCGTCGCACCCATCTCTGCCATCCCCAGAGGGCCCGCCTGGCACGTCACCCGCCCTCCGGGAAACTCAGTGAAGGATGGCGCCGGGGACTAAATCCAGCACGCGAGACAGGTGTCCTGTGTCCCCACGGGGGTGAACGCCGGCCTGGGCCAGAGGCAGCGTATTTGGACAACAACAGCATTTACGCCACAAATAAAATCGGAAAAAAAAAATACACTTCACTGAAACATAATTTACGAGAAATACACCTGGGTACATACTGTTAAAAAAAAAAAATCATTACTTACCTATGTCATGTTTCCTTGATATGTCACTTTTCTCCAAATTCTGTATTTTAAATAAAAGAGAAAAAAGATCAATCTCATCACATAACAAAGCATTATGTACGGAACACATTAACATTTTGGGGGCAAGAAACTGAAAATGAGCTCTTGGAAATGTGTGCCTAAAAACACAGACCAAAATTAAGGAAGAAAAGCAGCCGTGATATATGTCTGCATCACGACGGACGCCTCCCGTGGGGCTGTCCCTTACGTGACCTCAGGAAGTCACCTAACTGAGCTGAGGCTCTTTCCTCCCACGTAACACGGAGCTAACACGCAACTGGCTCTACGTTCTTGGGAGGTTAATTTAAAAGCCTTGTGTGAACCTAAAACTAAAAACATGAGAGGCAACAGCATTTATTTGAGATCAGTGAGAACAGCTGTTTGGGAAGCACTGACTCACTCAGGCAGAAGCCCAGCGTTTGGATGAGGTGATGGTGTTTGTGAGCAGAGGGTGGGGACAGTGACATCCATAGAAGAAAGGCCTGCTATCGGTGCAGGTCACGTAACATGATGATGCTCATTCTAAAGGTTCTTACTTTCCATCCAGTGGCCATCGGTCCGGTAGCCACAGATCTGCTTTCTTGTTATCTCTGCAAACAGTTCTTTGGGAAACAAGGGGGCTCAGCCCGTCCAAACGTGACTTTGCTGCGTTCAGGCCCAGGGGTGCAGGGCCTAAGACACGCAGGGCAGGGCAGGCCTCTGCTCTAAAGCGGCCCCGAGTCTGCTATGCTCCCCACTTGTAAACTCCAAGGGTGACACCCCCGTGAAGACGAGTCCTACTAAGTATCGTCTTTGTCATCTTTCGGGTGTCACAACTGCCACCACGATGTTCCCTCCCGCCTGAGAAGCTGCACTGGGCCCTGCGGGGGTCGGCCTGGGGTGCGAGAGAGTCTGCGAGCTGGGAAGGGGCGTCTCGGGCGGCAGAGCTCCCGACCCGAAAGCCTGGACGTGGGCCCCGATCCCGGGCCGTTCCGGGAGGAGCTGAGAAAGAGTCGTCAAAGGGCCAGGTGTCCGCAGCCAAACCCGCCATCTCATTGTCCTCGCCGGCGGACATAGAAGGAATTTTCTCTTAACTGCCCTGCTCCGCTTCCAACCGCCATAGGCTATCATTATGACAACGGGACAGCAGCAAATAACAGCCTTCCAGGCTCTTGACAGGCTGCAGCGAGAAGGGCGGTGGTGACCTTTTTCTGACAAATTGGAACAGGTGAAAAGCCGAGACACAGCCACACAGAGAGGCAGCGTCTCAGGATGCCAGAGGGACTGTGACCACAGACGGAGGGGACAGAGTGACACACAGGAGAGGGTCCACCGTTGGCAGCATCTTCCGAAATTACCTCTGTCTCAAGAACAGAAACACCACTCAGTCGAGAAGAACCCCGCAGTTATGTGCTCATTTGTCGCACCCCAGAGTCAGGCGACACTCCGCGTCCTCCTGATAAAACGGGTATTTTCTAGAAGAGCCCCCCCACCAAAAAAAAAACTAGCGGAAAGTTCAACACCTGTTGGCAAAGAGAGAGCAGATAGTATGGCTACCAGACGGAAAATGTTAAGCTTCTTTTAAGAATGAGCGTCACCTTGTTAAACTTCCTTTAGGAATGAGCGTCACCTCATCTGCACCAATAGCAATGCCTTCCTCCTAAGGATGTCACTGTCCCCCTTCCCCTCCTCACGACCCCTCGCCTTCACCCCCTAATCGGAACACTGTTTGGGCTTCTGCCAGAATCAGTGTGTCCCAAATAGCTATTCTTATAGACCTCAGATAAACACTTGTTGCCTCTTACTTGGCCTTTTATTTTTAGGTTAAAGTCTCAATAAGCCAGTCACAAATGGACAAATATGGTACAGCACCCAGAATGGGCAGAAAGCAGAAAGGAGGGTGCCAGAGGCTGGGGGAGGAGGTGGGCCGCTATTTTGCAGGCACAGAGTTCCAGTTCTGCAAGATGACAGTTCCGTGGACGGACGGCAGTGACGGTTGCGTGACAACGTGTGTGTCCTTGACACCACTCAACTGCACTCTCAAAACTGGTTAAGATGGTAAATGCTGACTTACGTGTGTTTTACCACAATTTAAAAAAAAAAAAAAAGCCCTAAAGATGATCCGATCCAACACTCCCCTTTCACAAACGAGACGGCAGAGGCTCAGGAAAGGCGAAGCGTTTGCCCTCGGCTACACACTCTCTGGAGCCACAGGACGACGGCTGACACTGAGCTCTCCCTCCCGATGTCCCAACGTCCCTTTCTCATACGCCCCCCCACCCCGAAACGCACATCCAGCTGTCCTCCAGCAGTGCTCAGAAGACGCGCCTCATTCGATGGGAACGTATTTCGAGGAAGCTAAAAAAACACCCACACCCACAGTCGCCTTCATCAGCTGGAAGGCAGAAAGTCCCCTGAACTCGGTGTGCCCAGGCCTAGGAGCTTAAATGAGCTGGCACACCCCGGGTCTCTGTGACACCAAAGAAACGCAACCAGAATTACGCCTTTCTCTTGGTCACCAAGCACCACCACACCGACTGGCCGTTTCCATAAGGCACACGCACACATGCACACATACACACGTGTGCACACATATATACACATACACGTGTACATGCATTCTCACGCATACACACATGCACACGTGTATGAACACACACACACAATCTGCAAACAGCCCTGTCATCCCGTCTCGCCCAGGCAGCCATGGCACGAGGGGTTCGGGAAGCTCCAGAGCAGAATCCGGGATAGCACAGGGACCGGCGGCCCGGAGGGAAGCCCGGGCTGGAGGCCAGGCCCTGGCAGGACAACAGGGCACTGGCAAAACTCAGGACGTGATGTGAGGCCATCTGACACCAGCCAGTACTTGGGGGGCCCCCCAGCCCTGCCCGGGCGTGTGACCAATCCAGCAGCAAGGCAAGGGGGACGCAGGTGGCTGCTTCTGAGCAGCGATGGCAGGGCAGGTCCCGATCAAGGCCGAGTGACAAACCAGTGATGACCCCAAAGCCGCCTGATGACTGTTCAGAGCTGTGACTCCTGTCCCCGGGCCACCCACATGCTAGATGACCTCGGACAGAGCCTCTCTTCCGTCTCCCCATCCTGGGCATGGTCTGCAGGACACATGTGTCACCGCCTCGTCCCACGGCACAAACGGCTTTCTAGCTCTGTGGCCAACACACAGATGGGATTGGGGACATTTGTCAAGGGCTTTCTTACTTTTGCATGAAAAATGACACAAAGATATAGTCTCATTTTCTCTATTTATACTTATGAATGTTCTTAAAGCAAAGGAGACAGGTATCTCCTCATCTGAAAAGATTAAAGCCTACATTTGAAAGAATGTGCTATAATTTCTAATTCATTATACAAAATTGTAGTTTCCCACTAATAACTCTTGGGTAGCACTTTCAATTCATCATAAATAAGCCTCATTATTGCCACATGCACACGCACACACAAACACGTACACACACGCACGCACACATAAACATGCGCATGCACACATAAACACACACACGCACACGCACACACATGCACGTTATGATGCGCTCGGCTGTGTAACACGAAATTGCTGTGTGAGGAATTCAAAGATTCAGAAAATCTGTATTCTGACTTCACCTTTTAATAGTCACGTGACCTCAGTCGAACCCCTGAGCTTCTCTGAGGGGCAATTTTCTCAGCTTTACATAGGAAGCTCTGCTTTGCTGAGCAGTAACAGACCAGAGAAAATCGAACTCAATGAGATGTCCAAAAATGCTTAATGAACCACGGAAGATCTTAAAACCATAAGAAATTATTATTTCCCCTGTGTAGGAATCCCATAGTGCAGTTAGCACAGATGATACTCTACCGACAAAAGAAACGTTCTCGTAAAAAATGCTTTTGCACTAATTATGGGGTAAAAAAATAAATGGAATCAGTTGAGCCCTAATTGATACGACAAAAACAATTCCGATTTTAAAATGTTTCTCCTTCTTATAGCTGAGCTGGTGCAAAGCCCACACGGTAAAATTTAGATGAGTCTGGAAAGCAACCAGAACCAAGTGAGTCTGCTTTAACTATTGAGGGATTTTTTTTTTTTTTCTTTTTAAAGCCAGCCCATCTGTAGGTTGCTGCTAGGGATTCAAAAATCTATGTTGACCAACATGTCATGAATTCATTTAAAAAAGAAAAGAAACTTGAGAACCATTGCAAGATGAGATTATTACACCTCTCGTTAAAGACAACGCAAACGAATCTCTCACGGAAAAACAGATTTGAGCGTCAGAATCGGTACCTTAGACTGCGTGGCCTCTTTCTTTACCTCTTCGGAAGCCAAAGCAAAAGCTGGAGGGAGGAAAAAGAAACATTTTTATATTAAAATTAGCCATTAAGATTCATTCTCACATTGAACACTTTTGCTAAAATGAGGAAAAAACAATACTTTAACGAGACACAGTTTGCTTAATTCTAAAAGCAGCTGCATTGTCCTGAGTCGCTGGACCTAAAATTATGTATCAGGATGAAGCCCACAAGCTGGAGGAACACTAACTACATCAAAGATGTGAGAATCTGTGTACCCGTCGTCCACAGGCATAAATAAACCATAAAACAGATGCACACAGAACACAGCTTCTCAGAAACCTCGATTCTGGTGCGATGTGTCAAATAACAACAACAACAACAAGAAAACCTTCACAGCCGGAAGCTTTTCTGAAAGGAAGGGGTCACTGAGCCACCTCCTAGCCGGAAAGGATGGGGAGCTGGGCGTGCGGTCTCGGCCACCAGCAGCAGCCGCAGCGCACCGTCCGTGGCTCATTTACACATTACGTTTTGGGGAAGAAAGGTGCAAGGTGTTTTGAAAGAATTTACATTGGCTACAGGTTGGGGTGATGGAGGGCAGGAAATGGTGAAGGGGGCCAGTCCTGGCACAGGGGCGCAGTCTGTAAGGGACAGGTGGATACTACTTTGATTGGCGGTCATGCCTACGCAGGTGTGCTGGCCCCCAGGGGTTGATGCAAAGTGCCAGCAGCTTTCGGCAGTGTCAGAGGTCTGTGGGAGCTGGCCCCGGGCGGTTACAACCGGTTAACCACCCCTGTCTCTTTCTCTCACTCTCCTGCCGTTCCAATTGAATTTAAGACATCTCACATTATTCTTCTTGTCACTTCTTAAGCAAAGGAGAATTGCTGAGAATCCAAGGGAAGAAGTACAAATCCTCGCTCTCGCCAGCCCTGCCAGAGCCTGGCCGCCACACAGCGAAATCTGGAGCAAGCTTCTGGTCTCAGGGGCCGTGGCTCACGCGTGTGGTGTAGACACCGCTACCTGCGTGCGGGGTCCGGCAGCAGAGGCTACTGAGGCCAGGAGGCCAGGAGAGCGAGGGGAGTTAAAATCACTCTCCATTTAGAAAGATTTCGTGTTTTGAGTCGATGCCCAGAGAGAGAGAGAGAGACAGAGAGAGAGAGAGAGAGACAGAGACAGAGGAGATAGAGAGAGACAGAGAGAGAGACAGAAAGAGAGAGACAGAGTGAGCGAGATCTCCCTAGAGATACATTTAGGCTCTACGTTAAAAAATAATAATGATGATAAAACAGGAACGCTTTGAAAATACAAAGCAAAAGGATAAAGCAAACAGGAAGTTGAACTGGACAATAAAAATTAACTTTGAACATTTCTCAAGAGCATCTCACAGAGTTTGCTTTCCTCCGCTAGCATTTCCAGGACAAACAGGCAATGCCGCAGAGCAAAAACGCACGCAGGGGAGCCAGGCAGCTCCACAGGGCAGTCACGGAGCACGGGGCGTGAGGGTGGCGGCCCCAGGGGACAGGCCGGCCCACCCCGAAGCCCCGAGGACCTCCGCACTGGGATGCCACTGCCCCCCGCCCCATGCCCACTCCAGTTCCCTCCCCACTAACACCTGCTCAAGGAAAACCATCGAGAGCATGTTCGCGCCCAGAAGCCGGTGACTTCTAGGATGACATTTCAAAAGGCAGAATGAAAATGAAATATAAGCCGAATGGACCCTCCGTGTGGGGCAGGAGGGGGGGGTCCAGATGACGGCAGGTTCGACAGGCAGTGGCCACCTCCTGAGACGACCCGCAGGAAGAGCAAATCCCGGCCCCACCCTCCTGACCGCCACGCCCCCCACCCCCGGCTTTTCCAGAGCACGCACGACGGCTGACGTGACGCATGTCTGTTTATTGCTTATCTTATGCAGTAGTTTATCGCGAGCTCCAGAAAGCAAGAATGTGGTTTTACTTATCGTTTGTCCCCAAAACTGGCACATGGCCAGCACACAGAAGGAGGTCAACAAACGTCTACCAGGTGAGTGAGAGTGAGTGAGTGAGTGAATGAATGAATGAATGAACGAACAAACCCCACCTTCACTTATTGTCACTAAGATTCTCACTTGCTACACGCACGCGCGCGCGCACACACACACACACACACACACACACACACACCCCAAAGTCCAAATCGTTCATTAAGTTCTAAGAAGAAAGGAAGAGATTTAACACCAAACACCACTTCACCCTTTCAATTCTGCTTCTGGGTACTTAATTTTTGGATTATTTTATTTTACTTACCTCCAACCGAGCCGGCACATTTACAACCCTCAAGAAGACATCAAAAATGGATGAATAAAGATCATACGGGGAGGTCACGATACATGAACATCACACAGCTCCACAGAATTCCAGAAAAAAATGCTAACATTCCGATGACTTGCGGATGACTTGTGGCCAGTCTAACTCACGGCTTTGGTGGCAAAACCCACGTCCGCCGACCCCATCGACCGCTAGTGCCCACGTGGGAGTCGACACTCCTGGGCTAGAGCCTATTTACTCTCCCGTTAAGAAAGATCACGTTCCCTACTTAACACGTCCAGTGACCCGTCAGCTAGCCACCAGCGTGTGGTCTCGTGTCACGTTTCTGCAAGGCCAGGTGGCTAACTGAAACAAGCATGTGTCAACACAGAAGTCCCCGGCCCTTTAGGATGCAGACTCTCTCTGCTGAAGGAAACGTGTCTTCCTTTGGTGTCGGCTCTGAAAATGACTAATGCGTCGCCTTTCATAAATAAGCAGCTAATATTATTTGACGCTGTTA